CCACGTCTTCGAGGACTCGTACCGCGAGCTGCACCGCAAGTCCCCCGAGGAGATGAAGAACCGCCTGTGAGAGACACCCCCAAAAAACACCCACCCCCCCGAATTCGCTGAGACACCCACAAAGTCCTCAGAACCCTGAAACCACCACGAAACACCTTCCAACCTCCCCAATACGCCCTTGAACCCCCTTGAAACACCCTAAAACACCCCAAAACACCCTCAAAACGCCCTCGAACCCTCTCAAAACACCCTAAAACACCCCAAAACACCCTCAAAACGCCCTCGAACCCCCTCAAAACACCCTAAAACACCCCAAAACACCCCAAAACACCCTCAAAACGCCCTTGAACCCCCTCAAAACACCCTAAAACACCCTACAACCTCCCCAAAACCCCCTCACACCCCATCAAAACACCCTAAAACCCACTCAAACCCCCTTGAAACACCCTAGAACACCCCAGAGCACCCTCAGAACATCCTTGAACCCCCTCAAAACACCCTAGAACACCCTACAACCTCCCCTAAACCTCCTCAGCCCCCCTCAGAACACCCTAAAACACCCCAAAACGCCCTCAAAACACCCTACAACCTTCTTAAAACACCCTTCATCCCTGCTGTAACACCCTAAACCTGCTCAGAACCCCCTTCAACCCCCTCAAAACACCCCAGAACACCCTCCAACCTTCTCAAAACACCCTTCATCCCTGCTGTAACACCCTAAACCTGCTCAAAAGCCCCTTGAACCCCCTCAAAACACTGCAAAACCCCCTCGAAACACCCCTCAGCCACCTCAAAACACTCCTCCAGTCCCCTAAAACACCCAAAACCCCCTCAAAACACCCTAAAACACCCTCAAAACCCCACAAGACACCCCCGGTCCTCCCGAAACACCCTCAAACCCCCTCAAAACACCTCACAGTCCTCCCCAAACACCCTTGAACCCCCTCAAAACACCCCTCAGCCCCCTCAAAGCACTCCTCCAACCCCCTAAAACACCCTCAACCCCCCACAAGACACCCCCAGTCCTCCTGAAACACCCTCAAACCCCCTCAAAACACCACACAGTCCTCCCCAAACGCCCTTGAACCCCCTCAAAAATGCCCCCCAGTCCCACCTAAACACCCTCAAACCCTCTCAAAACCCCCTAAACCACCTCAACACCCTCCAGTGCCCCCAAAACACCCTTGAAGCCCCTCTAAACACCCCTCAGTCCTCCCTGAACACCCTAAACCACCCCAAAACACCCTCCAGTCCTCCCTAAACACGTTAAACCACGCTCAAAACATTCTCCAGCCCCCTTGAAACACCCCAAAACACCCTCAAACCCTCTCAAAGCCCCCCCAGTCCCACCTAAACACCCTCAAACCCTGTCAAAACACCCCTCAGTCCCCCCTAAACCCCCCCCCAGCCCCCCCAAAGCACCCTAAACCTCCTCAAAACACCCTCCAGTACCCCCAAAACACCCTCAAACCCCCTCTAAACACCCCCAGTCCTCCCCAAACACCCTAAACCACCCCAAAACCCCCTCCAGTCCTCCTCAAACGCCCTTGAACCCCCTCAAAAATGCCCCCCAGTCCCACCTAAACATCCTAAACCACCCCAAAACACCCTCCAGTGCCCCCAAAACACCCTTGAAGCCCCTCTAAACACTCCCCAGTCCTCCCTAAACACCCCAAACCACCCCCAAACCACCCCTTTTTCCTGTTTCCCGCCCCCCAGGTACATCGTGTTTGAGGGCGAAGAGGGCCAGGACGCGGGGGGGCTGCTGCGGGAGTGGTACATGATCATCTCG